TACCAGGACCACCACATGCTGATTTGCAATTGTGATCGCTTGTATGGTCGCCCGATAAGGGGTCTTAGTCCAGTTAGAAGAATTCTAACCTCATCGGGCAAACAAAGTGTTCCATCCGCTAAATACAGACGTTTCCCAGCCGGTACCATGAAATCCATACCTAGAAACGCATCTTGACCTACTTGGCCTCCTACCCAAGCATCAAAACAATAAGCTAGTGATCCATTAATCGTGATCTTAATTTTGTACGACCATTCTCATAGTCTTCTTGACCTTGGAGTGTAGTGTAGACATGATCATCGATCGGTGCTGAGCGCACTTCTCCTCTTCAATCGTGCGTTGCTGTTGCTCATCGAGCGGGTTCGCGACACCACGTTCATAGAGCATATTTGGTTGGTGCCCGTTGAGATTCGTCTCCACCTAAGTGTAATCTATAGTCTCCCACAAATTTAGTATCACTCTTATAGTTTACTACATCACCCAAACCTTCCCCAAGGATGGCGTCAAGTGCGCGTGTGTTATGAACAACAGTTAGGTTTATTGTTCGTACACCTCACAACCTCGTTGAGTAAATGTGTCGAATGACGTTGTAGGGTAGCGCCGGTCTGGTCGGGGGGAGTGTAACTGGGTTACAAGACGTTTGGACAACCGATAATGATGTATGAAATGCAACTATGATATTATCTGTAAAGAGGTGGTTACATGACGGCTAAATAATCATCAAGCTAGCATGAAATGCTATATGCTACACTTTTCTTACGGAGGTATCAAACATGCTCCATTAAAGATGAGGGGTATCAGTAGTACCGTATCTTTTCGGTTGTAGATGAATAATCTTGGAAAAGAGTATTAAGTACCGCATACACTAACGAAGATTGGTGTGTCAATCGATAATAGTTCCGCATATTGAAGATTACTATGATAAGTAGTTAGCTTAAGTGTATGGTACTTAGAATAGGGTTTATAATTTACTACGTATCGTAGAACATAAAAAAAGTTTAGTCCTCACTAAAAAAGTCATTATAAGACTTGTTCTCTTGGGTCTTAACCGATCATATGCTGCTAATCTTCTAGCTTGCTAACTAATGCTCCATCCGAGAGCCGATGTAATTCCCGACATCCAGTGCGTCGCCATTACAGACAGCATCACTCGGTGGAGTTATACATGTCACCCTCGCGCATTTCTCGGGTTCAACCCTAGATGACTCGCCTCTAGGTCAACAAAGCTTGCGTCATTTAGGCATTCGATATCACTACAAGTATCAATTAACGGAGTACGAGCCGTATAATCACGCGTCAATAAGCATTGCTTGACACTACTATTATTATAATGGAAGTCCAGTTGCACATACATACCGATATCCAGCACACTTACCGCCTCGGTCAGTGGCTCGCGTCAACAGCGCCTTTTTTACCTACCGAAGGTCGGCTAATGATCTTCAAAGCTTCGGTAGAAAAATTGCGCGTTGCGAATAAGAATTTGAAATTTCAATCATCTCATGGCTTATGGCATTTAAGCCAAGCTATACCGAGAATGGGATCATATCAGGAGGCCAATCTAGGTCAAAACAGCATTCGATACTATCAAAGTCCAAAACCTTCACACCTAAGTCTAACGGAACTTAAGGAATGGTGACACGTGCACCAGTCTCGAAACGAACCGTCCTAAATCACCTTCTTGCGCTTTAAGCGCTTTAACATATTCCTGACTCCCTTAATGGGAATGACGTCTTACCAAATTACCCAACGCTCCTCAGTTGTTAAAAATGACCATTGCTTATAAAAATCCTTTTATAGTTGCCAGCATAATTAACAGCCTGGCTTGTTTCCACAGCTCATGGAACATTCCACAAAGTCTGGGCTAAGCTCTGTTCACCTCTGCACCCTAGAGGTTCTACAGCATTTAATTCTTTTTCAGTAAGGCTCCCCACACCTACTGGGATTCTACATTTCCCTCGTCATGCCTTCCTTTCGGCTTGGAGTATAATTACATCTCTGCCGAATCTGACGTTGCTTCCGCAACGGATAATATAGATGGAGATGACTTGTTCTTCCGAGCATGTAACATCTACGATGTTAGCTTTCTACTCTGCAGCTTATAGTTCAGCTTCTTCTTTCTCAGCATAGCTGAGGTTCATAGGCTCAGCCTTATCAAAGGAGCTCGATGTTATGTCCTTGGGCACCATAGCGAGCATCTTTGAGATTAACTCGGCGTTTAAGGCTATTTTCATCGCTTCCTCGAGCGTCAAAGAGTGAACACGAAAGAAACACGTGCTTGCGACCCCAGTGCGAAGTCCTCTCATACCAATGGTCACTCGAAGCTCCAAGGTTCAGCTGCGTAGCAGCAAAAATGATCTTAACTTTTAAACATAGTTCGATCATTCCTCCTTTCCCTGTCGGGAATATAAGAAACCTAAGCGCACGCAATATGCCTAGTTAGGCGGTGCAACCACACGAGACATCTGTCTCTTTACCGAGATTATGTGAAAACGCGGCGTCTACAGACGATCGCATCGTAATGCCCACTCCCTGGCCTGCCACCGCGTATAGAAATGGCCAAAATGAACCTGTTGATGTTTAGATCTGAGCATGGCGGCGCTCATTGTGTGGAAAAACGCTAGGAGAATTTGTGCCCCTCAAGAAAATTGTAATTGGAAGCAAATAAATTATGGTCACTCCCTCGATCCAATAAGTATGATTAGGCCTCGCAGGGTCTTAAAGTCCGGCAAGGGCCTCAACGGGGCAGAGCACGTACAAGGTTCAGGATCCTGAGGATGACACGGTAGTGGGACATCCCCTTCGTGAGTCGGCAGTCCGGCGCTGTGTGTGTTTGTGGATCTCTTGCGTCGTTTGAGAATTCACTTCACCACGAATTCAACTTCAACTTCTCGGACCAAAAAAGGAATTTTACCTTTTTCTCCCTTTAAGATCTTAACGCTCAACTTTGGCGGGCAAGCCTTTGGCTATTCAGCGGGCATGACATGTAGCGTGTTGGCATATCCGACGCTATCATGGTCATGAACCTGTTCAGATTAGCGTTGTTTTATAACGCATAGAAGATTAAAGGCGTGCCTTAAACACTTTATAACCTTAAACTAAAATTTGGTCGATCTGTTTGGACCCTAATTAACGCTGTTAGCTTATCTAGCGCGAGTTATTTCTCCGAAGAGAAATTATCGAGACTCGTTATCCTCACAGAGAGTCATTCGTTAATGTTTATGTGTAGGATTGATTACGAGTGCTATTAAGTGTAGCGGAGCTATACAGCTCTTATGTCAGAGGCGGAAAAACGGCAAAAAGCCACTAAGATTTACAGAACTAATGGTACGACTGAAGAAGTCTACCCATTTTAAAGAACTAGGAGAGACTTAGCTAAGTTGAAAACATTGGTATGTGACAGGAACTCACTGGAGGTCGGTAATGACATTGGCTCGTGATAGTATAATCGAGGAATCTTTTAAAATTTAGAATGGTACTATCCTGGGTACTACAAGAAGTACGGTCTCTCTAAAGAGACGGCAGCGTCGCCAATCGGCTGCTGCAAGACGCAAAGCGTCTATTTTTATCACGCGGTGATGTCATCGAGCAGCTGTATAATCTTGTCATTGGAGTTGCAGTTAAATGTGCTGGTGAGGCTGGCCTTGAAGCCCTCTCATCATTAGACACTCTGTTAGAGCTAGACGAAATTTTTGTCGATAAATTTCAACAAGTCTCGAAGGATGGTAATCTATCTAATATGGTGGTCTTTGGATTTGAACTCTAGCTGTACTCATCTTAGCTTGACGATGAGGCAGTCCTTAGAGATACAAAGGCAGCACTTAGTGCACGCAATGTATCCTTGTTGGAAAGTGGAACTTCGTATCTAGCCGGGTACTAGATGTACGCCGGTGAAGTCTGCTAGGTAGTTCTAGAATAGTCTATATTGGGGTAGCTTTAGAACGTTCGATGCATAGAAAAATTGTGTGGGAGCGGCAGAGGCCGCTGCACTGAGTAAGATCACTTTGCGATCGGTAAGCCACTGAGGAGGCCCGCGGCGGCGGGCCGAAACGCGTCTGGCACGCGTCCGTAAGTAAAGTCATTTTGTCATGCGTTTCTAGTTTCTAACAGGTTGTGAGCCCAAGATTGCGCGCGCGTCACCAAGTATGGGAAAGCGCTGCTGCACAAGTGCGAAACGAAGTAGCTCGTGTCAGAGGACTGAGTGGAAGGAATGATCGGCGCAAGTGAGACGAGTTGGTGCTAGGGGGAGCACACACACACACGAAGGATGGATGGCAGTACCAAGCAAGCTAACAATGGCTGGTGCATCCGAAGTCAAGCTACGACGCGGAGCCATGGAGAAATGCAAAAGACAGCAATTTGGAGACATAAGGACGGCTATAACGAAGTGCAAGACGACGAAGAAGCGTAAGAAGTTTGTGGACCATTAGACCGCCGATGAGTCGAGCGGGTCGATGCGAGAACGACGCTGAAGTCGGGATATGCTGGCGGAATGCTCAAGGCGGCGCAAGGAATACGTGCGTACAAGCAGTCAGCGCATGTACTCTTGACAGGAATGCTGAAGATGAGCAGTCAACGAGCGCGCTAATAGCGTCGGGTACCAAGTTGCACACTCTCACCGGCGAGGGGGAGTGTTGGAAAGTGGAACTTCGTATCTAGCCGGGTACTAGATGTACGCCGGTGAAGTCTGCTAGGTAGTTCTAGAATAGTCTATATTGAGGTAGTTCTAGAACGTTTGATGCATAGAAAAATTGTGTGGGAGCGGCAGAGGCCGCTGCACTGAGTAAGATCACTTTGCGATCGGTAAGCCACTGAGGAGGCCCGCGGCGGCGGGCAAAACGCTTCTGGCACGCGTCCGTAAGTAAAGTCATTTTGTCATGCGTTTTTAGTTTCTAACAGGTAAACAGCCGCAAGACGCTCAAGAACAACTTCGCCGCTCCCATGTCTGCGAAAAGGGCTGAATTCATCCTTGGAGCGACAATTACTTCCACTGGGAGTTTGTCATGCGAATGACGCTGGCGAGAAAGGGACTGCTATCACACATCCAGATGGTCAAGCCCGAAGCTGAGATGACTGAAGCGTGGGTGATTAATGACATGAAGGCACTGGGATTGATTGCTCAAGGCATTGCGGTGGAGCATCACACCAAGATTCGGTCGGCAACGACGGCTATCCAGGCATGGATTACGTTGCGTGAGTTCTACAATCGTACGACCATGCACAATCGGGTGGCGATGACCCGCCGTCTTCATGATTTTAAGATGGACGACGGCGTGACGATGACCCAGCATCTGGACAAGTTTGATCAACTTATTGTTGGTCTCCAGTCTCTGGGAGAGCCAATTGACGAAGCGCGACAGCTCGTGGTTTTGCTCAGCAGTCTGCCTGCAGAGGACGAGATCATCGCGTCGATCGTGGAGAACGCCAAGGACGTCACTCACATTGAGGTAAAGGAGAAGCTTCTTAAGGAGTATGAGCGACAGGACAAGAAGGAAGCCACGGAACGCGCGCTAAAGGCTACAACACATGGGATCAAGTCGAAGAACGCAAGGTTCGACAAGAGCGAAAGGAACAATGGACGCAAGGACAACATCTCAAGGAAACAAAGTGGATTCAAAGGCAAATGCTTCAACTGTGACAAGTTCGGTCACATGAAGCGGGACTGCCCGGACTTTAAGGGCCTGGCAAAAATGAAGTGGACGCTGTTTTCGCTGCCGGGGAGAGTCGATCATCAGGGTGGCTGATCGACAGTGGTGCAACGGCACACATGACTATGACGCCGCACCGAGAAGACTTGTTCGACTACAAAAACCTAGTGACAAGCATTGAGGTGACCATCGCGGATGGAAAGAAGATCCGTGTGGTAGGAACCGGATCGGTGCGTTTAACGGGCATTGACGGCAAGCGCATTCGGATGTTAGATGTTCTCCACATCCCTGGCCTGGATCGACGACTACTATCGGTCGGCAAGCTTGCAGAACGCGGACTCAATGTTGAGTTCGAGCGCACATCATGTATCATTTGGAACAAAAAGCAAGCCACCGCCTCGGGGAAAAAGGTCGGCAAGGCCTACATACTAGAATGTCAGCAGGAAACGGCGCATTACGTGGAATATTCGGACGTCGATAGCAATTATGATCTTTGGCACGCTCGTATGGGTCACTTGAATAAGGACGCGCTGGAAAAGACGCAGCGTGTGACGACTGGTATTTCAATTACCAATTTCAAGACGAAGGCGCTATGCAGTGGATGCTTGAAAGGCAAGCAAATGGTGACACAATTCCCATCTCATTCACAGACGAAGACGTCTCGTGTTCTGGAACTTGTGCACACGGACGTAATGGGACCGATGAAGACGAGATCAAAAGGTGGCGCAAAGTATGTGCTTACCTTCGTTGACGACTACTCAAAGTACGTTGTGGAATACTTCCTTAAAAGAAGAGCGAAGTGCCGAGAAGATTTGAGTCTTTCAAGACCATGTACGAGAATCAGTGGGGAGAGCGCATCAAGTGTCTAAGTTCTGACAACGGCACTGAGTTTGTAAACAAGGCCATGGATGAAATCTGTCAGCGTAACGGAATTGTTCATTAAAAGACTGTGCCATACAGCCCTCAACAAAATGGAGTGGCTGAGCGGATGAACCGAAAGATTATGGAGAAGGCACGGAGCATGATGCACTACAAGGGTGTTTCTACTTCCTGGTGGGCAGAGGCAATTAGCACGGCAGTGTACTTAATTAACCGGACAACAAATAGCACACACACTGACGCGACTCCATACGAGATTGGATTTAAGATGAAGCCTCGACTAGACCACTTGCGAGTGTTTGGATCAATTGGTTATGCTCATGTCGACGACGCTAAGCGCACCAAGCGCACCAAGCTCGAGCCAAAAAGCTTCAAGTGTTTGTTTCTTGGCTATGGGGTCAATACGAAGGGCTATCGCGTCTATAATCTGGATCTAAATAAAGTCAAGATATCAAGATCAGTGAAGCTCGACGAACGCGAAGTGAATGGAATTTATAGCACGTCGACGATGACAGAAAATACTGAAGTCATCAACGTGATAAAGGACATCGAAGAAGTGGCTCAGCCGGAAAATGAGAAGGAACATCCTGTGGAGGATGAACCAATGGAATCGACAGCGGACCCATTTGAAGTCGTTGAGATGCAAGAAGATGAACATGAGCCTATATCATCAGGAAGATAATTAACGACATATCATCGACAACATGAGTTAACAGCAAACAGTGACATGGTTTTCAGGCCCGAAAGGGAACGATCTCGACGTCCAAGAGAACCATCACTTCTTCTTGGGAATGGATTGATTATGGCTGACGAGAACACAATGGATAGCGACGATGATCCTGACAATGACGATCATTTCTATCCGCCGTCACTCAAACGACCTCGTATTGATGAAGATAACCTGCTTGCAGAAGCTGTACTAGCATATGCGGCAAGTATTGGTGATGCAAATGATGCAACGACGACATATCAGCAAGCCATGGACAGCGACGAAGTCAAGGAATGGGTGAAGGCTATGAGCGCTGAGCTTGAAGCTCATTCGGAAAATGGTTCATGGAGTCTTGTCCCGAAGATGAAGAACGTCCGATAATCGGATGCAGGTGGGTATTCGCTAAAAGCGCAACGAGCACGGACAGGTGGTGCGTTACAAGGCCCGACTTGTCGCAAAAGGATTCAAGCAGAGTTCGGAGTCGATTTTTTTGAGACGTACTCACCCGTAGCAAACATGAACTCGATCAGGCTCGTGCTGGCTGTGGTGGTGGCGAAGGGATACGTGACCGAACAGATGGATGCAGACACGGCGTTTCTAACAGTGATTTTAAAGAAGAGGTGTACATGGAAGTACCTAATGGCATAAAAAATGCTGAAAAGATGATGTGCAAGCTAGACAAGGCAATTTACGGACTCAAACAAGCTGCGAGTGCCTGGAACAAGACTATCCATGCTGTGTTCCTGAAAATTGGTTTTCAAAGCAGTGGAGCAGATCAGTGCGTCTATGTCAAGGTCAACAATGGCAGATTCGTCTATGTGTGTCTTTACGTCGACGACATGATCATCGCTGCCAAGACCAGTAGAGAGATCCAGGAATTCAAGACAGCACTGAAAAATTCGTTTAAGATGAAGGAGCTCGGTGAGGTCAAGTTTATTCTAGGTACGGAGATCGATCATGATCGTAACGGTAGTACGCTGATGATTCGTCAGACTCGCTATATCGAGGACGTGGTCTGCCGGTTAAACCAAGATGAAGCCAAGGCAGTTGTCAACCCATGCGAGTCTGGATTGAAGCTATCAAAGGTACAATCACCAGCTACGGACGCTGAAAGAGAAGAAATGCAGTCGAAGCCGTACAGGTCGTTGATTGGATGTCTGCTATACATCACAACATGTACGCGACCTGATGTGGCGTATATAATCACACAGTTGTCACGTTTTTTGGAAAATCCTGGTCAACACCATTGATAGGCTGCCATTCGTGTTCTTCGATATCTCAAGACTACAAGAGACTACGGCATAATCTACGATGGCAGCGCAAGCGAGGTCCAAGCAACAGCATACACGGACGCGGACTGGGGAAGCAACATCGACGATCGACGCTCGGTTTCAGGCATAATGGTGATGGTTGGTGGCGCACCAGTCGTGTTCAAGTCCAAGTACCAGCGCACTGTGGCATTGAGATCGGCAGAGGCGGAGTACATGGCCTTAAGCTTTTGTACCCAGGAAGTACTGTGGGTCCGCGCGATGCTCAAGGATCTCGGTCATGAGCAAGTGGGAGCGACTTTGGTCTATGAAGATAATCAAGGTGCGATTGGGCTTGCAAGCAACTCAGGATACAAAGCCAGGACCAAGCACGTCGACATCCGTCACCACTTCATCCGAGAGAATGTGGCTCAAGACATTATTGTGGTCAAGTACAAGTCAACGGTGGACCAGCTGGGAGACATGTTGACCAAGGCACTCGGGACGAAGCGACTTAAGTACTTGCTCCAAGCAAGTGGAATCAGACCAAGGCGCAGTCAGCATAAGCGGTGAGTGGGAGTGTTGATATTTTACCGCTGAATGCATGTTGGACAGGCGAATGGCGTTATATGATATCATATTCGTATCCTGACATTTCAGGATACGGATATGATAAAGGCCAATACCTGAAAGGACATGAAGATATTAACGGACATATCTAGATGACGTAAGTAACAAAGATCTGACGAGGAAAGGCTTAGATGTAGCTCAAGGTAGTGAACTAAGGACCAAATATATTTTCCTCACAATTTGCCTTCTTCTACATATATCAATTCAACAATCCTCTATCCTGAAGATTCTCTAAGGTCCCGAATTCCGTTTGTTAAGGAATTATCAAGACATGGGTACTATATATGCAACACATTTATTGAATGTTGCTGGTGAATTACTGAGTTTTGTGGCATTACCAACCATTCCTAGAGCATACTACTAGAACTGCATAAAGTTGTGTACGGAATGTACCGTTCACGCATCAGAATCTAAATGATACCATATATCAGATTGATGGATGAAGAGATGATACTACTAGACATACCATCTATGATTATTTTTAAAAGTATTGTAACGGGGCTAGAGCTCCATTACTTACAAACACTATAGGTCTTACGAGGAAGGCAAGGGAGCACGCAATAACTAGCGTGCTGAGGTATATTTCAACTCTGATTTTAATTTTTTTATGTTTTTATACTGAATATAAGTGATCCCATACGCATGGGAACCACTTAACTACAGATCTCTTCTGATAATGAGACTGATTCTCACTTACCTGCGAATAGAGATACGAATGACTACACCCGCTATCTCGGGTGTAGCATATAACTACTTATGTAATATGAACTTAACAATATCTGATTGTGTAACGGTGCACCCCTTAACACCACCCCCACACAGAATAGTACACACTCTTGGGTGCGACAAATACAGGAAAAATCCGACTTAATCAATTTACGGCATCATCATATGCTTGTAGACAATCATGTCCACGCACAACACCACTTTAACTCGGCAAAATAGAAACGACGGCGAGCAACTCCTGGCACCGTCCAACGTGGCGGTGCCCAACCATTCGCGAACATATGCGGAGGGTCTTTGCGCCTGGGAGAAGTAAGACTGCAGCGGAATTGGACACTCGCGTGGTGATGAAGAGATGCGCGAGATGTGGCGACGATGGAGGCGTGCTCGGGAAAAACCGACCTTGGCTACGTATGGCGTAAGACAAGCTTCGCTGGACGAGTTTTGGATTGCATTCGTCCGCCAATGGAACACCGAGACGTCTTTTGCCGAACTCGAACCGATATGCGAAGAGCAACGTCGTCGTTTCGGACTCGCGTAAGCCCGCGAGATGGTGCATGAGTTGCCGTGGGCTGCGGACCGTCCCTCTTGCTTTGTAAACTGGAAAGAACGTTGCCATCATTTTGAACGCCACGGCGTAGCGCGCCCAAACCGCGCTCAGTGGATGTCCATTCTTGGCGATTGTCCGATTTCAGAGGAGGAGCGCACGTGGATTGGGAGGCATGAGCGAGTGCGTGATGAACACCAATGAGCGCATGGGTGGTCTCGAATAAACGTGCGTCAAAACTCTGCACTGACCCCAAGAAATCGCTCTCCAACGGTGGAGGTTCCAACATCGCGACCTGCGCGGCGCTCTCGATCAGCGATGTATCTTAATATCGCGAGCTGCTCGACGCTCGCAATCCCGCTCACCGCCCGGTCTTTGTCGCTCATGATATCCGGAACGTCCGCGAGAAGTGTTGCGCGAGGTTCCCACGTATCGCTATTCCGGGGACAGCCGAGCCGGCGAACGCGATAATGTCGCGTTTCCGGAACGAGGTTTGTCTGAGCGAGGGCGGCGCCATGCACAGTCTGAGGCGGGTCACGATGTTCTAAGATTAATTCCACAAGCCAACGTCGATTTCCAGCGCTGTCAAATAACGGCGGTGGACCTTCGCGCGAAACGCAGCGTGAGGCACCGGAGTCTGAACGACCGGTGCCGACTACTTCGGTCGTGGCGCAGCTCCAGGTACTCGATCGGCGGGTTACGTTCGTAGACCATGATGCAAGGCAATCACGTGAGCTTGCTGAGGCTACTAAGAGTCTCGCAGAGAAGGCATTTTCTGCGATTGCTGGGTTCTCTTAGCGACTCGAGCGTTTGGAGCAGTCAAATGCTGCTCTTCGACGGGACTACGTGGGGTTGCGCGGGCGCACCAGCCCGATCTGCCAAGACCTCCGCGTTATCGGGGACCGCGTTATGCAACTGCGTCACATCAGTTTTCGAAAGGAGGACCGCCGACCAGTAACGCTTGAGACGACCGACGTCGAAAGTAGGGTGAAGACGCATCGACGAAGGGATGTCCAGTTCGTAGGCATCCCCGTTCACCTTAATTACTTTGAATGGACCAATATACCGTGGTGCTAGTTTCAGTGTGCCAAGATTTGTCACTTTTATGCGTCGGGTATGCTTGTCGTCGAAAGTAGAGCCAAATTACCAACCTTAAACATCTCAAAATCCTTGCGTCCGCGCTTATCTGCGGACGCCTTCTGCTTATCGACCACAGCGGCAATAGCGTCGCGCACAAATCGCGCGACAGGCTGATGATGTATCACAAATTCGTCGATCAAAGAAGAGTTCGACAGACGGACTCCCGATGAAGACTGAGCTGCGCTTGCCGGAGGAGAAATATTCTGTGACTTGGAACGCGTTTGCACCGCATGTAGCGAGTTGTGTAATGTTTTTCACGAGGAAGTTAGTGGCACTGAGAAATCCGGTGCCCTTCCCCCCAACAAGAGTAGAAGAATCGGCCAAACCAAGAAGAGCCGGGACGCGCGGATGACGGGCGGTATTCAAGAAAAGGGGGACCAAACCAGTCGAAGCGTGAACAGCGTTGTTCAACGCGAGCTCAGTCATGGGTACGAACTCGCTCCATGACGTAAAAAACCTGGTGTAACTGCGCAGAACGTCTTCCAACACGCGATTGACATACTCGTTCTGTCCATCCATTTCAGGATGCGCGGTGGTAGACATCATCAGACGAGTGCTGAGAATCTCGAACAAGCGAGACCAAAATGTGGCCGTGAATCGAGGATCGCGGTCAGATACAATCGTTGCGGGCATGCCATGGTGTTTGAAGACCACGTATACGAAGAGAGCCGCGGTGTTCTCGGCCGTGATGGAAGCAGCGACAGGTGAAAGATGCGCCATACCACTTACTAACCCTCTTACTAAACCTGCCGTGATGGAAGCAGCGACAGGTGAAAGATGCGCCATACCACTTACTAACTCTCTTACTAAACCTGTCCACGATGACTAGGATGCCTGTGCGCCCCTGCGCATCGGCTGGTAATCCAAAGGCAAAATCAATACTCACGGAATTCTAAATGCTCGTGTCTGTGGTGGAGTGGGTTCTCAAAATTGTATGATGAGACCCCAAACCACTCACTGTGCCGGACTGCCGACTGTCGGAGGGGGTACCCCGATGCCGCGTATGAACCTTCTCTCACCTTGTGTACCCGTCGGCTGGCGGGTTGCACTCTTCGGAGGACTTGGTGACGATGTAGATGTCTGCCTTGAGGGAGGTAGACCTGGGGGGCCTCGAGTGGATATGCTTCACTCGGTGGGCCGGTAGGTGGCCACTCGATCGACCTTGTCGAGAGTGGACTTAGAGCCAAATTCTTCAGGGAGCTTGTCGTCCCTGGCCTTTTCCTTCTGTTTCAGGGGTATTAACCACCTGACCTTTACGTTGCTACCGGACCTTGAGGTGAGGGAGACCGCTTCCGATAGCGGGTCTTGGGGGGTGTTGCTACTCGAACGAGCTCACAGGCCAAATATATCCTAGAGCTCTATTCGCCCTTGAACTTCGCTATGCAACTGTCTTCGACGGGGGGCCAAAATATATCCCTTCCCGGAACAGTGAGTAACTTAGAGCAAGTTCTTCTTGGGTGACGGAGTCGTGCCACGTGGGTTTCAGCTCGCACTTGAGTCTAACCACACGTCTGTCTTCAACGGGGGGGCCAAATATATCCCTTTCCCGGAACAGGCGTGTGGCCAGACTCGAGTTCCTTTACAGCGCGACGAAGACTTGCCAAGTAGATCGCAAATTGAGTAGTATTTAATATAGTCCTATCCTTTTAGCTCCTTTACTCTATCCTTGCCTGAAGCTCTGATTCCTTGCGTCGACTAGTCTGATCCTTGTATTAACTTGTCAGGAGTGGCTGAACCCCGAGGGGCCGAGGTCGACCAATGAGGGACCCAGGTCTACCCGCGAGGGACCGGGTCGACCCAGGTCTACCAACGAGGGACCGGGTCGACCGATGAGGGATCGGGTCTACCGATGAGGGACCGGGTCGACCAATGAGGGACCCAGGTCTACCAACGAGGGACCGGGTCGTCCGATGAGGGATCGGGTCTACCGATGAGGGACCGGGTCGACCAATGAGGGACCCAGGTCGACCTATGAGGGACCCGGGTCTACCAACGAGGGACCGGGTCGACCGATGAGGGACCCAGGTCTACCGATGAGGGCCATGGTCGACTCCCTTCGGTACCGGTTAAACAGTACCCTGGTAATGACCTCTCCTTTGTTTGCATTTCACATTCTCAGCCAACGGTCGCTTCACTCCGAGGTTCCCTTTATCTTCGGTCCCTTCTCTCTGGTGCGTGGTCCCTTCTCCCTAGTCCACGGCCCCTTATCCCTTCAATCCAACTGGCCCCTGGGTTCTTCACAATTTAGGAAAGCACTTCACCACATGTCTATCGGGAGAAGGCAAAGCGGGGCCTGTGCCGACGACGTCGGCTTCACACGCTGGCACACCTCACAGGACCAAACCCACTTGCGGACCCACTTATACATGTGGGGCCAATAGAATTTCCGAGACAGCACAAGATACGTCTTCTCGCGACCCAGATGGCCACTGCTGGCGCTATCGTGGTGCTCGTGGAGAACACGAGCACGAAGATCGTCGTCGAGTGGGACGACGATACAAGGAGTGTCAAACTGATCAATTTGATACATGAG